ATGTATGTATGTAAATTTAAAAAAAAATATTGGCACAAAAAATACAATATATAACTGAAAGTAGTAAATCTCAGCACGGTATATAACCTTAAAAATGCTCATGATACATTAAACATTTATATTTTTTAAACCGCAATGACTACAATGTAACGTGTTCCGGCTAATGAAAATGGGCTGGGTTTGGTGTATAAAGTTTATGAACACCATGACAAATGACGGTAATGACGATGGAGGTCTTGGTGCTTATAGGGCAACAATTTTAGTTCCAATATTTTGGTATAAAAATAACAAATCATAGAGTTATGTCATAATGTTGTGTAAAATGCTTATAGAAGCGTAGATTTGCATGGAGAAGAACTGATACCTACGCACCTACGTAATGAACAAGCTAATTTCATAGATAACAATGGATTTCTTTGAATCCACTTTATTTTTCCTGTTGATGCAGTTACGTATGTAAAGGTTAGAGTTAATAAAATGTAATTGACTGCATAAGTACAAATATATATTACGCTACAATATGACTTATTACGTACTGAGGGGAATTTATTAAATAAACTAACATCTACATATCTATATATATATAAAAATGAATCCCTTTTTCCCTTGGTTACGGCGTCACGCGTGACGGCGTGAATGACTGGACCGATTAAATTAATTCTTTTTTTAAACAGGTACCTAATTGTACATTTACTTTTATATGTTTAAGACAATTTTAAATTTATTTCTTTGGTCGAAGAGATGCCTAAGAACGTTTATTGTTTTTAGGACGTTACTTATATCCGATTAGAGAAAGATTTAAAACAGTAATAAAGGTGCGATGGGTAACACTAATCAGCATAATAATAAGTAGTACCTAATAATGAATAAAACGAATACAATAGATTTTACAAAGAACTTAATTAGTTCGTCTCATTTATCGACGTCTAATTTATGCATGAATTTCAAAGTACTTATCTTAGGAATAATATGTAAGTACGTAATACATATATAATTATATATGCATTATATTCGAGAAACGACTGCAATGTCGTAATCTCTTTAAATAAATATGTACAGTCGAAGTCAGAAGTCGACTAGCAATTTCTCAAAACTATGGCGTAGCAATAGTATGGCTGTACTTATGACCTTTTTATAAGATAGGCGTATATGTGTATGTAGATGTATATTGATGTCGTAGCGTAGCCTATATAGTGCAAGCGATAATGGTCATTGCCACAGAAATATTAAATTTACATATTACATCTGGTCATTGCGGTGTAAGTAGACTTGGGTACGGTCACAAGACTAAAATGTAAATAGTATAAACATTTTCGTGTCTACATTTATAAAAGTTACGTACCTTAGTTGATTCCAGATCGTCTTCTGAAGAATCATCGTCAAATTGAGAGATAGGAATCAGATTTGCTGTATCTGAAAACGACAAATTATGAGATATGAGATCAAAATGGAATAAATTCATCTAACGTTTTATAATAAGATCAAAAGCTGTAAGTACCCTGGTACCAACTGGTATCTAAGATGATTTGGTTGTAGCAATGTCTAGGATCTTTTTAAACAAGGTTTTAGACACTGATGTACCTATACAGATACATTTCGAAAACGGCTGAATAACTTACTTCGTGTAGCCCAGAAGTATACGAAGGGGACAACTGCGAGCAGTGGGGTCATCCACATTCTAAAGAAGAACCAAAATAGCAACCAAACGCCCAGCGCCAGGGCTGACTTCTCTCGGTTCTCCCACTCAAACAAATACCTGGAAATATATAAAGATGATACAATTAGGATCTTATTGCAGACCTTCAAGAAAGATACTGGTTTCCAAGTATTATGTGGCATTCGTGGTTAAGTATGTAACGAGCGTGCATAGTATCACAAACCATATTTACGTATCGTTCATTTAAAAGAATATCAGGTTTTCCTAGATGGTTGATGACATTATCAATGGAGATATCTATTTTGAAGAATACATCAAACCGTATTAATTTTATTGGAGTTAAGTTTAGTAGCTTGTTCATTTTGGTAGACGTCTGCACGTGTCAGTGTTTCATAATATTTATTCAACGTCTAGTTAGTGTAACGGGATTTCAACCTATTTTATATAAAAAAAACAATTAAAAGTCTACAGAGCATAGCGATGACTAATCAGTAACTTCATAGTTTAAAGTAGATAATGAGTAATTAAGGTAAACGTTACTCATTAACATTTGCCTGTGCCAATTACGGAATAGGACAAAGAGTCGATTGAGGTTTTATTTCACAACTCATTATTTATTTACATTACACATTAGACTGTGTTTTTTTTAGATAAGCCGGTAAACGAGGAGACGGATCCCGTGATGGTAAGCAATCGGAGTCGCCCATGGACACTCGGAACACCAGAGACATTGCAAGTGCGTTACCGGCTTTTTAGAATTAGGATTTAGGATTTGGGGTTTGTTGGAGATTCAGGGATTGGGGTAATTGTGTCTACGGTAACCTCACTCACACGATGAAACACAACGCAAGCGAAGTTTTACGTCGGTTTTCTGTGAGGCCGTGGTATCACTCCAGTCGACTCGGCGGTTTATGCGGGAGTGGGACACGCATAAATAAGTGGGTATTTAGTTTGTGATCGCTAATAAGATAGTTAATAGTGTAATGGATGTTCAACCACCGCTAAACTATCTGTTAAGAGTTAGGTTAGGTTAGGGAAGCCCAAAAACGAATCCATTACGTTTATTGTTAGGTGTCACTTAAATGTTGGAAAAACAAAAAAAATCCTGTCCTAGCTTAGGACTAATACCTACTAATTATTAGGGCTTCTTTTCATTAGGACACAGTCATTTAAGCAGGTCATACAATTCATAAAATGCATATTATACATAGATATAGTTGCCTGGACTACGTTTGACCTAGTGCCATCTATGTCTTTGTGACCGTTATCAAAAGGTGGTCAACTCACAGTTTGGTGTCAAAAACCCAGTATTACATAAAAATCCCTTTTGTGTTGTTAATTACTATTACACATTTATGTACATTATTGTTCTTTGTTTTAACACGTAATGATGTCACCAGCTCGTTTTGTGTCATAAAACATGAGTTAAGAGACATTCATTGTCTAAGTACGTGAATACATGATTGTCTTAATGATACCTGGGTACTATTTTTACCCACTCATATGATGATCAGTAAGTGCATCCATATCGGAAAAGTTTACGGTAAAATACTTTTTAAACAAAATTCTGTGGCAAACTCGCTATCTACCGCCTTGTTTTCCCTTTAGTCCGCTTCCGCTGAGTGCATGCGAATATCGCCTAATTAGAATCGACCGCCAACTTTGTCGATTTTACCTCTATGTATGGCTGACATCATACCTACATAGGTACCATGTAAGAATGTAAATCTACGGAGAAGTTTACTGAGTAAAATACTAGTCATTGAATAAATATTATGATTCACCAATGATCAGTTCAGTCCAAAGTCCGAAGCTTTTTTATAAATAGGTAATTAACACGTTCACTGCCACTACAATTTTTTTGAAGTTCATAGCGATGCCACCCTATAAAGCCACGTGGACACGCCAGGCGTGTCGGCGGCACTGCATCTTGTTAAACATGGACACGCTAGGCGTGTCCAGTGGCACCTCGATGGAGTTAAATTCTAAATCTGTTTTTTTTCGGTTTAGCGATGAGTATTAGTTAGTTTGTCAATCGCTGAGCAAGAATACAGGTGATTTGAAATACGGTAGTGAGAATTTACCTGGAATTATGGCTGAAAATAGAAGTTTAGGTAAGTAATTTTCGTAATTTTGTAAGAGATCATAAACATTTTGTGGTTGTTTTGAAATATTTCATAATATTAACTTAGTTAAGTCAATTATTACAAGTTTACGGAACGATACCTATTTTAGTTGAAGATAGCATACTTATTTAACAACAATAACAAAATGTTTCATAAAATACTTATGTTTGCCATAATTTTCTCCCCTATACTTTTATTTCATTAAATATGAATTGCCAAAAACTACAAAAAAATGGGGGTAAGGGAGGCCGAAACCGAAATACATGCAGCCGGCTGCATGGCTGCGAGTAACAGAATAAATGAAAATAGCAAATAAATATTATGAGCGGGGACGATTATGGAAAACAGTATTAATTTAGGTCGCAAGCAGACCACGATCCCTGAAAAAATTTCGCAACGATTTTTATGTCTAGTGCTCGCGCAAACCTAAGACATTATTATGGTAATTTATATACTAGTATATAATATTTGTTTTACTGCAGATAATTATCTTCATATTTTATTGATTTTTGTTCAAAGGTTGACAACTCCTTAAAATGGACACGCCTGGCGGGTTCTCGGCATTACATAATCACTTTAAAAAAATATATATTTTTTAAGAGATTTTTCTGGGGGCCACCTCAAAAATCATTAGGTTATTGCTAGCGAATTATGTACTGAGAATTCCAAAAGGCAATTTTGGCCAATTTTCGAAATATCACTGAAACATTTAGGACACGCCTGGCGTGTTCGAGGCGTAGTTATAGAAATTCGTAAGAACACGCTTGGCGTGTCGGCGGCATTGAACGTGTTAATAATACAGAATTGGTCAAGTGGCTGTAAAGTGCTTACACTGGTTTGAAGTGTATGAGGTGAGCCTATAATACAAATATTTAAGTTCAGTTTGTATATTCTGCACCACTTTTGTTTAAACGTAATAATTATCTATAGACATACATTACATACTTCGAAAAAGCCACACACACAGCCAATAGTCCAAGACCCTAAGACCAGATGAGCAAGGTCTGGGGCCCTGGGATCTTGCTCTACAAGGAGACTGCCGTGTAAGTCATAATAAGTTCAGGCTGTCTCATAAAGTTAATACATTAAATGCTTTCTCATATATTGTGCTACGATCTGGTAAGTACATACTTTTAATTAGGTCGTATAGGTATAAATAACAGTTATAATTAAATTAAATTTATTTTAAAAGTAATTACAATGTCCGGATGTTGTCAAAGGAAATGCAAATATGTAATTAAAATGTGTTGTCAAAGCGATGCACCGTTCAATAGGGCGCCATTATACGGTCAACGAACGACACGAGAAACTGTGTTAGACAATTTACATAGAAATAATTAAACAACCCGGTTCTACATAATGTATGTATAATTACTTCACATAGAACTTTCTGTGTATTTCTCGAAATTTTTCATTAGCTAATATGAATAAAGATTTTATTTTCTTAGGTAGGTTATAGCAAAACAATACGCTATCCCGAGAGCTAGATTTCACCGGGACACCATGGCGGCAACCAGCCACCACTACCGACCTAATATGAGTAAGCTGGTTGCGGAACCAAGTGGACACCATTGTGTAGATAACTCTCTGTAGAGCTATATAAATTTTGTTTGGTAGCGGCGACTACTTGCGTCACCATGGTGTTCCAAAATATAGCCCAATTTAGAATTATCAAATATTGTAAAGCCCAGTATTTATTGAATTTACGAGAAATACGAAAGACGCTAGGTAATTGTTAGTTAGGGATGGTAGGTGGTTTTACATTGTAAATTAAAACAAAGTTTAAATGTCACTCACTTTAAATGTTCATTTCCGTAGTACACAGCCGAAAATATAACTTTGATGAACTTCAGATTGTTGTAGATGAGCGGTATGCTAAACGTACGCGGCGTTGGTTCCGTATACTTGTTCGTTTTAGGACTTAATAATCGTAATGATGCTTTTATCTGCAAGATAAATTTAAAATTATCTATAAATTACATTTTTAAATACTACTTAACAATAGGAAAATCTAGACATTAAGGTTTTCGCGTGTAGCGCTGCCAGTGATTTTAGTATTGCACACATTACTATTTCATGGAGCAAATTCAATAAGTGCACTTATTGAATTTGTATGTTTGCAGTTGGATGTGTTACACAATAAATTAGCAAACAGAACACTGTTACTGCCCTAAGAAAATGAATAAAATCATGGAAAATGCTTGTAAAATCATGTCAAGAACCCTCCAGCGGCCAAACAATCTCATAAATAACAGCGGGGATAGAAATAGTTCCATTTGTTATGCCTAAAACATTGGAAGCAATAATAGTATAAATTACCGGGTTCCACGCGATGGACATTTGTAATTGAATTTTCGAGGAGTTTCCTTTCGTTAGCACCGATTTCTTCGGTCGGTTACTGAGGTCGAACCATGCTTTCTCATCATTCACTATTGTCAGTAGAGGTATCGATATTTTTCCGAGTGTCCCATCTTTCATTGTGTTTATAATCGATTCATCCTTTACTGTTATTGTTAGTGTCGATGTTACGTCGTCTATTGGGCTGTCGACAAAAGAAAATATATATGTTTTTAATTTCAATGGGTTGTTTGCAGGAAAGAATAACGTCAGGTAATCTCCTAAACTGTTAATAGTGTACATGTACCTAAACTTTATCCACTTTGAAGGAAGTTGAAATCCGATTCGACTCCAAAGTCCACTGGACCAAAGTCAGTTTTTATAGTATTGTGTTCATTAATTACCTGGTATTCTGAGGAGGTAAAACCTTATGCTTCTTTATAGGAACACGTTTATCAAATAAAAAGAGCTATGCTATAAATTAAATGTGAAACAAAATTAGGATTACCTTATTTTTTGTAATGTTTAAAATATTTACTAAGTATTTATCGCTACCTGTTAATCTGCCTTATTGCCTGTGCGATGTTAAGAAAAAAGGATATAAAAATAAATAAAGAACACTAATAAATCTACGGAGAAGTATAATATGTTTGTAATGTGCGGTTTTTATGTCCAAATACTCTTAAATTTCGCTTAATATACGGCTGATGCTTTTTTGTCAATTTCGTACATAGATGTGTATAATGCTTGCTTATCAAAAACTTTAAAGTGCTTACAAGGTAAAACTTTTATTCCACGTTGGATCTGAAGTGCCAGGCACCGTATGCGTTTGGACTCTGTTGTTGTCCAGCTCTAAAACGCAGTAGGAGTCTGCCTTCCCGCTCAGACCGAGAGCGCTCAGCCCTTCAGCTCCGTACACCGTCACCGACAGCTCACCAACTTCTCCCCAATTGTTGTCCAGGCGGTACCATGTCTGGAAATAAGAAGTAAAGTTAGTTTTCATTAAAAAAAATATGTGTGCACTGTGCAAAGGGCACTGAGACAAAGAAGTTTTCCAAAACAAACCATGCAATGCGTACCATAGCTATGGTATTAGTAGAGTATATAACAAACTATTGTCATACCATGGCTTTGATTTGCAGAACTTTTTTTTTTTTACCACGACGGTGGCAAAAAAGCACACGGCCCACCTGATGGTAAGCGGTTACCGTGGCCTATGTACGCCTGCAACACTTGGGACATTACATGCGTCTTGCCGACCCTTAAAAAACCTATTCACCGCCCTCTTGAAGAACCTCATGTTGTAGCCCACTGGGAAAACCACGGAAAACTGTATTTATTTTTAAATACAGTTTAATTCGATCGATTCTGGTTATTTCTTAAATATATTCGTATGTTCATTCATAAAACAAACGTAACACTTATTATCCCAACAATTATCATACCTCCGCAAATTGTTAACACTATCAGTCTATTTATTAGCATCCAGCTATTGGTGTCAAATTCAATAATAAAAAAACTGAATTTATGACTCAAAAACTGGCGCGTCTTATTGATGATTGACAGCTTCGATTAAGGTTCATAGAATTAGACAGATTTCGATGACGTCCATGTTTTTTGCGTCATAATAATTTATCTTTTATTTTTTGTACTGATGACGTACGAATGAGATCGTGGGGTCAGCTTTTGAGATCTATACTCAGATATCATTAGTTAAACCACAGTCAGTATATCTATATAATTATAAGCTCTATATTGCTTTGTCGATACAAAGGTGCAAACAAAAAGTGTTCACTTGCGTCAATATTTTTTTATTACAACCATTGGTTGTAAACAAGAACCGTTGATTTAATGGAACTGGTAAAAAATGTACCTATTGATTTAAAAATGCATAAAAATAATTATTGTTAGCTTAGGAAATAATAAATTAACTTGGTTCTAAATATACTTATTATTTGACTGGCGTGTCATGCATGACTAAGCGATTTATGCTGGGAAAAAAGCATCCAATAATTTTCTATATCGATTTTATTGTAGGTTTATAATTTGTTTGCATATCTTTGGCTTAATTAACTCGTATATTACCTATTATGAGTTTGCATATAATAGCACAACAATAATAAACCCAACAATCTCGGAGAGACATGAATAATAGATATGACCAATGACGAAAAGACTAATTATGAATGACTTCATTTATTAATAAGTATTTATTATTTTCCTTCTCATTCACATTGAGATTGTACCAAACACACTCATTCGACGCTTTTAGTTAACTTTTGTTTGAGCAGAAGTCAACATTTTAGAGTCCCCTCCCGCCCTGAGTGAGGCGAGATGGGAGTGTCGCTTACTGACTAAAAACAACTCCACGCCAACTATTAAGGAGGTAATTCTTCGAGTGTCCCTTTATCTCAATTAAACTGTCAAACACCACGAGGACACCAGTGACCGCAACCTATTGTTCTTTAATTGTGTCTATAATGACGGTACTCAACAAGTTAAGATGTCGCTTAAATAAGTTACTTCCCTATAACAACGACAACTAGGAAACAAATTGTAAGTAAATTATAACAAGAATAACAAATATCACCATGATACAAACATGTTGGTACTACCATCTGTAAAACTTGTCCGCCACTTTTACCTGCGTCATCGATTATTGTAAGCCAGGAATATTCCGGCAATGAAAAAAACCGGCTCTCCAATGTTTACGAGACGAACTTGATACAGCCAGAACTTTAAGATACTCTTTTCTGAAATTTTTTTATTAGATTTTCAACTTTATTGTATTGATACATAGTTGAAGTTCCAATGAAAAAATAAACACGTTGGAGAAGGTTGATCTGATATAGTGAGGTAAGTGGGCGCCTAGTCTGCTGACACATGCGTAAAAACCGAAGGATAAAGACGTAAAGATCAATTCGTATCGGTACTTTTGTGGAGATTTTAGTGACGTCTCGTAGTAATGGAAGATTTGCTGATATTTCTATATTGGGTATTTCTATTTTTGGTGAACTAAGGTTGAGATAAATATTGTGCTAAAATAAGCAGATAAGGTCAAGATTGTTATGTGTTTGGTTTCGACAAATTATGACGAAAGATCTCGCTTTTTAAATGCAGTTTTTTTACTTTTTGCTTGACCAATTAAAAATATTTTATTATTATTATTAGTTTTAGTTTTTATATATTTTAAATAGTTATTTTTAGTATTCTATTATTTAATTTTTATCTTGTAGTTCATGTATGTTTTTTTAAAATTAGTTTTAGCGCATAAAGTGATTAAGTTAATTAAGAACGTTTAATTTCATAATTGAAAATGATGATTATTCTAACATTTAATAGCTCCATTCTACATTTTTTGCAAATTCTTATAGAAAATGCTTACGATATGAACAAAGCTTTATTCAGCATCGCAAGCAAGGTTAAATCAATCTTGGTATAAACCGCAAATTGACGCCAACTTACACATTTCACTTTAATAACGGTTTTTAAATGCATTGGAAGAATTTCGAGGTTGCCATAAATGTCTGACTATATCCTTGTAATGGTAAGTACATACTTTCTTATTTAAAGATAATCAGGAAGTTATAAACTCAATGTTTATCTTTTTATATGCAACAGAGGAGGAAAATTGTATTCGTTTGTAGTGAGGTAATGTCTTATGTTTTTACTTGATGCAAGTTAAATATTGGCTAGCAGCTAAGGTTACACTATAAACTATAAAATACACGAGAATTGACGCAATAATAGAATATCTACATTATTAATTTCCCGAAGGTCTATAGTAAGTAAGGTACCACAGAACATATAAAGAAGATGTTATGTGTAAGGTACCTACATCTAAGAAACTCTTAGTAAGAGCATATTGAATACGACCAACTACAGCTTAACACTAGAAAATTTTAACACAATGTCGGAATACTGAAACGCTACTCAATTTTAGGATTCCCGGGTCGGGCAAAGTATTACTGAGTTTTTATAAATTCTCAGTAGTAGCACGGAGTCTGGAATTGCGCCCTGTATATGGCAATAGGCTCACCCCCTATTACAAGGGAACATAAATAGTGAAAAGTGGGTGTTACATTGTACAGTGGCATAATGTACACCTCTGCCTACCCCCTCGGGGATAAAAGACGTGATGTTATGAGTTATGTGTGATCATAATTATATAAAGTTTTCTTTGCTATCGAAATGTAACAGTATCAATCGAATAGTTAACAAACCGCTGTTAAAAACGACGTTCCAAATAATTAAGTTGATCTTTATAACCTACTTAAATAAGTTATTTATAGAAGTTTTCTAATATTAGAATTCAAAACGTATAGGTACTATAAACATCTATAAATAGAAGTATAAACTATCACTCACACACATATTTATCTATCAATTTACAAAAACAGTTTCTGGTTTTTTGCGTCGTAAGTAGGTGTTTATTGAGATATACTTATGCGATATTTTTTTATGTTTGATGGTCCGATGTAATATGTCAAGTTATTAGAGATACCTCTTGCCCAGTAACCGTCGAAATGATGGTGACAATGCATAATTTTGAACGTTGGAAATAATTGAATTTCTATTCTTTTTTCATCTCCTGGTATTTTTGCAATTGGTGTTGTTCGGCAATTTGTCTTAACCGAATTCAACTGAATTCTATATATATATATTTTTACAAGGAACGATTGCCATCCCGTACCTAGTACCTACCCTAAACGGGTAGGTACTGGTTCATACTTGATCCACATCTAAACTATCCCTATTTAAACAAGATGTCGCACCAACATTTAGAACTAAACTTAGACCTTAGGTAGGTATGCAGTAAAATAAAAATAATAATTTGAATAACAATTTGGGTGGAGTCGTGAGCGGTAGTTACTTTAGTCTAATTAAAGTTGGTATTTCCATTAATTACGATTGATAACTCAACAAGCTATTAATAGACAAAGTATGCGACTAGTACTTCCTAAACAAATCGACATAATATCAGATTACGCCTGTTATTCATCGAACGGATAGGCAGAAGTGACAAGATATGTTAATAGTTTTAGTAATATGAGACTGAACTGCTATAGGCCCTATTACATGGGACTCATAACACAAATAGTGAAAAGTGGGTGTTACATACAGCTTGCATGCACAATTTATAAGGTGGATGGATGATGAAACACCAAAGAAAAGAAGAATAGACTGATTGTGTTAGGAACGATGTAAAATAAAAGGGAGTCTGTGATAAGATGGAGAAGAAGACCCCTATCAAAGAGGAAGTCCAGGAAGAAGACTTTGTCCCAAGAGTCCCAAAAGACAGACGATAATCAAAACTCCTATATTTTGTTCGATTCGACCTTCATGCAGCTGCCTCTAATTAATACTAGACTAGATAGGTACCTACAGCGTACCGTCATTCGATTACATAGTCAATGGAAATATTCTAGGAAATTAATTTAAAATGCGATACTGTTTTTTTTTATCGTAGAACTGGCTAGGCCTTAATATAACGGTCAGTTCAACACACATGTTTTTGAATATTTCCGTAGACGATTCTAGACGATATTGGCAACCATCAACGTGAATCAACAATTCAAATGATAGATATTATATAATACTTAGTTTGTTTTGCTTATCAAATATAGCCCCGGAATCTTCCATTGAACTTGACCATAGATTTTTTTATTTAAGTTTTCATAGGTAATAACAGGATTGGCTTTATTAAGGAAAATTTTTATTGTGGATATGACATAAAGACTTAAAACCAGACGGGCAAACTAAAACTAAAGTAGAAAAAATGTACTAAGATAATGGATTCAATATTCTTAGAATTGGATAAAAGAAAAGAAACTTCTAGGAAAATCACTCACATGATATATCTTTTATTTTAAACGTAAGTCGTCTGATGTCCTTTAGACGGTTTTTCCTTTTACTAACACCGCTATGTTCACGCCTATTTTTAGCCGAAGGTTCAAAGCCGGACATATTATGTTTTGTCAATTACCTATGTATTTGTAGATTCAATTGAACCCGAGATCTTTTACTAGCATCACTGTTGCAACCATTGTAATAAAAAAATCTATAACAGCAATAAATAGTCTTGAACTTACAAATTTCTCCACCTCGGGAGCAGCATGGGTAACGCCATTTGTTGTAGGGACGTTATCCAGGAGCATAGTTCTTGCCGTCGCACTCAAAGTGATCAGCATATGCAAGGATCCTTGTCCACAGTCCAACTCCTGCCACAACTCATGCGTCTTCTCTTTTTCAAGCTGCGAGAGGTCGATGACACATCTGTAAACATCACCTGTTCTAAAATCGACCAAAACAACTACTTTTATATTCTATAATTAGATATGAATTCCACGATCATGTTTTAATTAAAACATGAAGCGGTCAAGGTTCGTAGTAGTTTTACTAGATAACATACATAGACTTTGTTTAATTTTTTTTGTTAAGTGAATGTCGTGAGCTGTACAAAATTAATTAATTAAAATATGCAGCTTACTCGCGTAACTGTTCGGGAATACTCTACTAATTTCAAACTACGATCAGAGCTTATAAGCATGGGCAGCATGCGCGGTGAACGATATCGCGTAGTTGACTGAGCAACTAACAAGATAATAGATTATGAACTGCGGTTGTCGCTTGAAACTAGTTTAGCAACCTCTAGTACGAATTGGTACTTTGTCCAATATGGTAATCCACCCAAAAACGTTAGTGCCAAATATGATACTTTTTGCCTAACCTATTATTGATTATTATTCTGTTAACTGTTTTTAATTTTTTAACATAAATAGTGAAAAGTGGGTGTTACATGGTGTGTGGATGGTACAGTGGCATAATGTGCACCTCTGCCTACCCCTTTGGGGATTAAAGGCGTGATGTTAGTTATGTTTGTAAGGGTTGTTAGATTTTTTACAGTCAGCAGCTCCAGTAAAAATATAATCTACAAAGTAAACGAGACTTATTGTTAATAAGCTAATAAACAAAAACTTTTTGTTAAAGTACAACTCACAAAATTGATATGACATTCATATTGTTTTTGTGAATTTTGACACCAAAGATCATAAATAATTCCGTTAAATACCTATAGAATTATCTAGAGATGTTTACCGCACAGAATATCAGTATTTTTCCACGTACGTTTAACCCGGAAGGTTGAAGTTGTTGAGTAACAAGCTTTCTGCCTATGAGGTTCAGAGACGAGGAGTCGTCGACCTTGAACGACTCCGAATTTATTAAAGGGGAGAAAAAATGTCAAAGTGCATTGACAGTTTCAATAACAAAACACATAATTTTTAGGCGCAGGCAACCTTTAATAACCGTTTTACTAATAAGGTAGATGTCGCTGTCATCTTTTAAAGAAATATGACTTTGAGGAACTTTTTGCGATATTCATGAATGAATAAAATAAAGCCACGCTTAGGTGAGCATATAACACTATGTTGTAAAAAAATATTGACAGCCAAAGAAGGCGCCGAAAAACAAAAGCGTGCGTCAGCATTAAAATGCAAAAAGTGGTTTTGGCGTAGATGTTATTGGTCATTAAAGATTTATGTACCAATTAGCTACTCAGTAAGAAGTATAAGTCGGTTCTGTGATGGGAACCTTCGTTACGTGAAGTAAAAATATAGCAGTAACTATACTGCGACCCTCATATTATTTTAGAGTCCTGTAAGCTTTCAGTAACATTTATAAGGTGGGTATTTTTTTTAGTTTGATTGTGACAATGTCCGAGTTTTCTGAATTAGAGAAAAAAATTGTCTAGTTTGGATAGTGCCTTTTTGGATAAACATGTTTCCGTAATAACCGACGCTTCTCGCAGAATAAAACTGTATTTGTTCACTTGTTATTCTTTGTCGTTATATCCTGCGATATAAATATGGAAACGAAGGTGTTTTGCCCGTTTTGAAGAAAAAATAATTAAGTAACATGATTATATTTTTTTACAAAATGAGGAAACATGTTTTATCTTGTGTTTTTTAATGACAGAAATAATATTTCACTGAGGTGTGAGAATATGTTGATAATGGCCAGTGTTATCCGCGTCAGAGGATTTTTAAATGACAAATCTGTGAATAAATTTTCCAAAAATTATTAAAACGTCCATATGAAAAATGTACGTCTAGTATTTATTTATTATTAAATATTTTGCGGTTCTATCTAACTTATCACGTATTAATTTGCGATATCAGACAAAAGTGGATATAACGAATAAAGTATAATATCGTCCCATTGGAAGAATAAAGTGTTATGATCACATGTGTCGAAATTCATATTATGTTAAATTCGTCATCCTTATAATGTAAACTATCGATTAATACTATTTTTATATATTTTTATCAATTAATTCAAAAGATACAGTGCTCGAATAAAGTTTTATCCGCGCCGACTACGTAAAATAACTATGCATGATCACATACAACAATATTCTCCGCCTTGCTCCTGCGCAATTAGCTGCGCGTGCCGTGTCGCTTCATCCTAAGTAACGTTGTTCGACGAAGTAGCAGCGAGTGGTGTTTGTTACAATGAATACCCAAAATTTGATAAAATATGCTGTATATAATGGTTTGATACAATTTACACTACGTTTTATAAATTTCCCACAAAGACAGTATTTATAATCACATAAAACATTTTTTTACGAAATACCAAAGCTTACTTATTAGAACTTAAATCTGAACTAAATACTTTAATAATAACTTATATAACATAACGGTATCTAATAGGACTTGTCTTATTTTGTCCCCTATTTTTCCAGTTTCTTATAAACCTAGTACATTTTACTACGTAAAATTTTATATTTTTTTCGTCCGCAAGTACGCATAAAACATTATTCTACAAAAAAAATAATTAAAGTGAGTGCCGTATATGCAAATGACACTTCTTTTTACCAACGGTTTTATTATAAAACAATATTCGAAATCTTAAAATTGCTATAAAATGGTTAAATTTAATTTAAAATATGAACAGCTTATTCAATAATCTATTAACAACTAAATGTACTAGGTAGGTATAGCAAAAAAGTAACTAATGTAAGTTTACATTGAAAACACCAATGGACCTAAACACAAGAGTGCACGCCTCCCTTTTTGACATGTTTGCTTTTTGTATTAGAAAAATCGAAATAGTTTATTTTTTAAACTCCCAGTTTAGAGCAAAAAAAAATTAAACAGTGACACGTGAAAAAGTGAGTGCGTACTACCACAGTAGACCACTCGAGCGCTCATCAAATTACATATATCTAAGTTATGTACATACATTTACTTTACTAATTTTTTTTAAACTATTATGTTATGCATATACTCCTTGTTACTTTTACAGAATCAAAGGAAAAATAATTATATCCAATATAATTTTATTATTACATTTTTTCAATGATGATTTCTCAAACGATGGGGAAAGAGCAGGTCAGGCTCAATTGGTGAGTTTGTGGTACCAGTGGAATAGACGATCTTTGAGTTAGAATTTGCATTAAATAGGGAATATGAAATAAAGTACACCACCAAGACGAAAAACAGATGTTTGAATCAGGATACACCAAAGAATTGCAATTTTATTTATACATATTATAACGAGCAAGCGACGCAATACGCTACAAAACTATAGTTAAAACTACATGAGATAAGTACTGCAACAGCACTGTCGTAGAAGACGATTACAGAGACCGCCACAAAAATTAAAAAAAGGTAATCGTAGAAGACATGATCACTAGCGGTTGTGACCAAGTGAACTCATTTGCATCTATCCAATCACATTATTTAAGTAAAACACGACGTAATGATATCTAGACGGTATTGTCCGAATGTACAAATTTCAACAGAGTTGCACTCAAATAGGTTCAGTATTTTAAGCCATAGATTGTCCCAGTGATTGTTTCAGTGCCAGTGAACCGTAAACCAAATTTCAATCAAATACGTTCAGTGGTTTAAAAGATAGAGTCCTGAGATATAGCACATATTCTAATTCTGGGACTTCCGGGTTATTACTTTGGTACTAATAATGTGGCCTGATTTGTACCGGTAAGACGCTACTTCTAATACTATTACCTAAAGGAGACGGGCAAACATTCATGGTAAATTTGACCTCGATGGACTAAAAATTACTTAAAACAAATGAAATGCTACGGGTTTTCAAGGACTAATACTACTATGTAACTGCATTAGGATCAGGGATTTTCTAATTCAATTAAATGAATACGTTATTTTAATGGATTAGCTTCTGCCCAAGGCTTCGTTCGCGCTCTTTTAAAGGATTGGGGATAGGAATTCAAAAGAATACAAAAGCATTTGCTTTTACAGTTTTCTATTAGTAGTCAATAGATTAAGCAATATTTATGGTTGATTTTTCACAAATCGGGTTACATTTTCGAAATTTTAACACGGTTCCTATCTTTTTCTTATAAGGGGTGTAGTATGTAAGATTCCAACGCTAAAAGAATTTTTGAAATCCGTTCCGTAGTTTCGGAGCCTTTTTCAATTCAAACAAACAAAAATTTAAATCTTTCCTCTTTAGTAGACTAGTAGTTAGTATATTGTTTGTTCTTTAGTTTAGTGTTTTCATAATTGTTTTCTATGTTTGAGACTAATTTTTTATTTTTAATATTTTTTTAATATATTCACAATGGTGCCATAATTATTTATTGTGTTTTTATTATTAAGCTAACTTTATATTACAATTATATAGGACTGATTTATTCATGAGAATAACCACAGAAAGAAATAAGTCAATAGTTAGTTTTAAGTGATCTATAATATTTTTTTCTTATGGATCGCCATGTATTTATTTTGTAAGAATTGTAAGAGCATTATTCTGTTTTTCTGTCGCCTCTTTTAATAATTTTATAATAAATATCTTGATTAGGTTATTCCTCATAGTGTATGTAGTCAGTTTGTATTTATTTTTAATTTACTCGTATATTGATTACTACATTGACTAATAAATTGATTAAGAAAACACCAACGTTTTTAAATACATAAAAATACTCAGTAATAATGATGAATTTAAAACCAATTCTACTTTCTTAGTATTACAGTTTCATATAAAACACGGATAAAACCACCAAAATTCGTAAAATAATGTTTGATATGCCGATGTATCGTGAATAGTTTCGTCGAATATTGTTTTATGTATCCTTAAGACATCTCATTCAATATTTTTTTTGGCAAAAGAACGTTGTATGTGCACATGCGACCCATTATACTTGAAAAGGCATAGTTTATAAAACAAATAATTATATTATCATAAACGGTACTAACTTCTGTGCATACTGTACAAATATTAAGTAGCTAGTATCATTTATAACAGATTTATAAGCAAATATGTGCGCGCGAAATTTATAATCGCTCTACTGAAAAGTCGACAATTTGCAAATAGAACATTATTCTACTAATGGGACGATATGCTACACCCATATCAAGTTCATCATCATATATACATATATCATATTCCGTTTAATAATTCGTTTTCTTACAAACAATAATTTAGCCGTGGAATTCATAACAATAATTAAGTAAATCATCACTCATTAGGTAAAAAACTCGAGTAAATAATATGGCTTACCTGCCCATAAAAGTCTTCTGTTTCCCCTTGTGCCAGACTGTGACTTCCAAGTTATTGTCATCGTATAGGTAGAGGTTAAACCTCTCACACCACGAAGGTTTTGACTTTGACAGCTGCTTCGATTTGTGACCTTCGCTGCCCAGTCTGAGTAGAGAAAAAAAAATTAAATGGCGGATGGCGGGAAAAAATGACAGGAAAAACCACCAAAGATTTCAATTAAATTCGTGTTTTCTTAATTGTTTCGTGTAACGCGTGTTTGTTAATTGTTCCAGTCATCATTCAACTTGTGTTTGTGAGATTAGATGAGAAGATATATTGTTTTAAACACGCGGAATGCGATATGCTATGTTAGATTTTTTTGGACTCTTTCTTTACTCAGCTTTAAGTCTGTATGCGTCCTACGACTCCTACGTTATCAAAGATATACATACATACTTCATTAAAACATTCTACGTACTTAAAATATCGAAGTTATTAAAATTTTGAAGCTGATAACTAAGAACTGAGACATACGTTACAAACATACGTAAGTAAGTACCTATGTGCTCAGCTAACTATGCTTGTAAGGAAATCATTGGAACATCCGGTACCATATAGGTACAAAAACAGTTAAAACAAAATAAAATTTACTGAAACTTGTGACATTGTTGTTTTACTAAAAGGTCCAAATTTTATGGGTAGCTGGGTTTTAAAAACTGCTTACAATCTTATATAGGGTTAAAGAACCAGGCAACATATAATAAGTACCAAAATAAAAAAAAACAATGTATTAAGAGCTAAATAACAAATAATACAACAAAATCAACATTATTTTATACGAGTTTTTTGTCACCAGTATGATTTCCGGTGTTTTTTTTATTTGTACCAAAGCAAAGATATTTCAAGTTTAGCAACCTGAGCTGTGACGCGGTAAAGGTAACAACTCATTTGAATAATTTGTGATGCACAGAATAAGGACCACGAAATGTACAGATACTTACTTGAATTTACAATAAAGTCCATTGGCACTCCCCGCCGGTGTATCTTTGGCATCAATCAGAACGACGTTCACCATAGACTTCCATGACTTCTTGAGAATGTCGAATTTTCTGTTTTTCCAAACATACTGTTCGAAAAAAAAACGATAATTATTTTTACGTAAAATTAACATAATCTTAGTAAATATTTGTCTAGCTCTTGGAAAAATCTTCCGTAAATGAACAAAATAATAAATTTTCGTATATTTAATTTTCTACTTGGATAACTTAAACATTTTGTAGCATTGGTGAACCATTTAATATTTTTTTACTGTTCTGTAATGTCTAGAGGTGGCTCATATAAGGTCGAGGGTTCGAGTTACGGGTCAAGTAGGTTGCAATTAGACATTCTGATTTCTAAACTCTTACATCTAGTACCTGTTTCTTAGGACTTGTACTTGTCAATTGTAGTAACGAAGTTAATCTTGGATATAGGCACTTCTAATTTTTTTAATGTTGAAGTATACCTACATTGATGCTTCTTTTAAACTTTGTCCAACATTATGATTTTTTTCCTGTGCCGTGCCGTGGGTGTGTTTACAAACATATAATTTCACACGTAGGTACATAAAACCCATTAGTTCCATCATAGTACAATTCCCCTCGAATTTTTTAACAGAAAACTCATCCCAGGTAATTTAATGCAAAAAATGTAACGTAAAAAAAGAATATTTTCAAAAACTCACCATACTGTCACCGTTTTCTTTTATACAAAAAGGTTTTCTTTTTAAATAAAGTAAGTAGGTAAATATATTATACATAAATTACTGAGAGGCAATGGTCGTAAATTATTACCCAGGTGAGATTACTCAGTGGGACAACATTTTCAGTGTCAGTTTTTTTAGATATAATGTATGACTATTGTTAAGTATTTTAAATATTTACATTGAAAACTTTTATTATTTAAATGAATTAATTTGATTTATTATCAGTGTTGACGAAATGCGGTGTTGTAACATTCCTATATACCTAGGTACCTACTTTAAATAAATTTCTATGGGATTTCTTTGGTTTACGTTAGGTAATATGCAAAATTAACTATAAATGATGGGCTTAATAATAAGATTATGTAGAGATCGTCGCAGGAGGCGCTCTGTAGTTTCTGCCTCTCTCATTTTCATGGGACAGACGCTTGAGTAATCTCTGTCTCATGTCCAACAAATCAAACAAACAAATCTAATGAAAATCTAATCTAATTTTTACTATATGTAAGTACGTACCTTCTGAACTTTTTTGCTGTGATCTCTGAGTATTGTCAACCCACTGCCAATGCGGTCCATAAACTCTGAAGATACCGCAAGCGCGGTGGGCGCCAACGGGTCCATCACGAATCCGTCAGGAATTGCGAGCGACCTGGACAACACGTCATCATTAGGAACAATAGCTTTAACATTGGAGTAGCTACTATAAATACGGGACCTCAAATCTAAGATTTAATATGCTTTTAAAACACGCGAGAAATACACTTAAAAACGGAAAATAAACTTAATCATTTATACAAAAGAGTTGATTTTGCAATGATTTCTTTGTAACCATTGATATAGAATTAAATGAAGTAACAACCCTTAAAATATCGTGCAGAGCGCACTGTGCGTGCTTTATCCGCGACGCATGCCGATGTACTCTGCTCTCATACGAAATACTTGTTTCGTGTGGCTGGTTACGTCCGGGCCTTAACATGGACGTCAGTGAAGCTTCCATGTCCTAATTAATCATGCCGTTATGTGCTTTATTTTAAGTGCCTTAAGTACTTATATGGCATAAATGTTTCGAAAAATTGGCCCTGGAGACTCTAGCGTAGTACTGTATGTTTACATTTTGTTGACAATAATATTGTCCTTAAATAGCTAAGTAGCTATTATTGTTATGTCTATCCTTCTCTTGTAGTACTGTACCGTAAGACCTCTGAAGTTATGCCGTATCGGGATACTAAATAGTATTGTCTTCTGATTGATAACATACTTAGCACAGTTTGTTATTTATGCTAAAATACCGTTTCTGTTTAAATACTTTTTTGCTACAAAAGTCACACTTACATAATTAAGTATGTCCTAATAAACTTGCTTAGACAAACAAAGTATTTTTACAATTTTCATTTCGTTAGAAGTATAAAAAATCGTATAATTTTTATACGACTTCCATTTTTTATACGACATTACTGTTCAAATGTATTTTGTCGCCTTTTTATGGCAATGAAAAAGTAAGTAGCTGCATTCGTAAAGATGTAAAAGGTCGTTGAACTATGCTGTTGTTTAATATGAAAATAAGACACAGTTACCTAGTTTGCATTGAGTGGATCAATTTATGCATTATCAACACTAAACATAGCCCAGAATGTAGGTATGTACTTGACATTAAGCGCATGCGCGCATCTTAAAAGCTCTTCCATTTTTAAGTGCCCTTGTGACATCCTTTGAAACCACGGGTGCTCCAAAAAGGCTTACGGTTACGGTAAACCTTGAATAAGGTATCAAAATAAATCAAGTTTCTTAACTGTCATGATATTGCATTTATATTTATATCCATAATGCAAATAGTAACTACAACAATTATTATATTGTCGATATAATTTTTATTTATAATACTTATTTTTTATTTACGTAAAAATAAAAATAAGGAAACTTAAAATAAACTAACGGAGAAAATAAAAAAATAAAATTGACTATACTACTGAATGCATTAAAAATTCGTTCGCATCGACGTGAATAGGGAAAGCAAGTACCCAAAAGGCTGGCAGGGTTGCCAAGTTGTATGTTTTTTTAATTCTATTTTATTTTAGGGGCTTTTAACCTACAGGATATGTCAGCCCCAGCCCCCTATTTTAGAGTTGCAGTCTTGTCCGACAATAAATCAATAGTCAGTTTCTATATTTACTTTTTACCAACTTATTTACCTATTATATCTATTCTACATTTAGAAATACGGGAAAATTGCATCTAAAATCAGTTTTATCTATAGTTATACTCTAAATCTGAAAAACGCAACATATTGTGAGTAATTTCCTATAATAGTATACTGAGTGAGGGAGTGAGTACAATATATAATAACAACGAATAACCTCATCCCACTACTATGAATCCGTACGATATTTAAAAGAATGTCTCTTCTAGTCTATATAGCTTGATAGTAAAATTTCTTTGTAACCATTTTTTTTTAAGGGGGGAAAATCATCAAATGACTGCTCCCGCCTGGGTGAGGCGGGATGGAGTGTCAGACTCTTACTGAGTAAAAACCACCCCCTTCCGTCTCCTGCACGACGAGTCGGAGCCCCGGTTACCCGTTAGATTCTCCGCCACCATTAGAATCTTAACTTGAAATCCGTTATAAGGTTAATCAAATTTGTTATTAGCATTCAGCTACTTAATTTAACATAATTTATCCTTATATAGAGCTAAAGGATCGTGTCGTTTGACATATTAATTATTCTTATTTAGTTCGAACAAATATTTAGTAACTTTAGTTATGTAATCGGATGAATGACGTCAAAATAGAATACAGACGGTAGGGCACTAATCTGCGCGCACGCTACATAATGATTTACGGAACTTTTTGATGATACGATGATTTTACTAATATGATTTAAATTGATATTGTTCTTCTTGTGGTAGATTCATGTAATCATGGATCTCGTTGGTGAAGTAGTCAGTGGTTACAGGTGCGACTGCTTTATCTTGTGTACTTGAAATTAGATACGTTTTTGTAACATTTCGTTTTTGTAACAGTTGCGACTTTTGAATAACCTTTAGCGTTTGTAAGTAGAATTACTCTTCAATCAGAAACGTTCTGTGTATTTTTCTAGATAAGATTTTGATGTTACGATATAAAACGAAGCTTTACTTCTTATATGTAGTTCCAGCAAAATATTGTGAGTTTTGTACAAATAGCTGTACCTAATGGGCAATGGCAAGTTATTTGTATCAGGAAAAAAATAAGTAAGGTCATTAACCGCTGGATAAACTTTGTTTCAGACTGCCTCATTGCAAGTTAAGTCAGAAACAGTATCGTATCTACAGACTAAACAGTCGCAAAGCTTAAAATACTGCGCTTATTTATGGTAGGGGAAATTGAAGTTAAGCATGATTTATCACTACCTACGTACGTCATTCCATTAAGAATTTTAATCAACAACATGTTTATGCATTTCTTATTGACGAAATAATATTTCTACTTTCTCTATGGTGTTGGGGTTTTCCTCGAGATTAGTGACGAAAGTGTTATTATATAAACACTTTTATTTAATAGTTTATTTTTAGAGCAGTTTTTTTAGTTTGTTGGTATTTCTTCAAAAGACTATATATAGCATGTTCACAACGCAGTATTTGAACTTTTTATGAAACTGTGATTAAATAATGTTTCGATGTTTCTTCTAAATCTGAATTTACGTCGGAAATCCCAACTTCATTTAGTTATTTTTAGTATGCATAAAAGTTGATTAATGACTAGCGTTAATAAATAAAAAAATTAATAATATTGATATTTAAAAACAGTAAGAGCTGATTGAAATAAAATAAAATAAAAATAAAGTTAAAAATGGCCATAATAAAATGCAAATAGCAACATAATATCCACAGAACTAGATAAACTTACTTACAAACTGAAACAAATAGTTAAAACATCCGAACAACGCACACACTGGTACACATAGCTGGCAAAACACTTTTACGGGGAACACGGAACACTATAGAACAATATCATTCGAACTTGAACTTGAAAACCGGCCTTAAGAAAATAGTATCGATCAATGAAGACGCGTCACGTAACAAACAAAGTTTCAAACACAGTGGTCACACCAAGCGAGTGATCGAAAATGAAACAAACGCACGTGGAACCTGATTCAAGTATAGAACTCACGTAATTAAATGATTCAAAGCCACACTCCAACTTTGATTGGCCATCAGGAAATTGTTCGCCATCGACGATCACCTCGCAGATTAAGAGGAACTAATCTGTGAATCGACTGCACGCAACTCTACTTGTTTTTGTTATGCCCTTGGCTTCGGTTTTTGTCAGCTGTTCATTGAACCATCGGCAACGAGATAAATCTCGCCTGCTGTGGACACGACCGTTATGCATGTGCTCCAATACACAATAAGCTTAGAAACTACTTGTTTCATACATAGTTAGTTATATCAGACATTTTGCTCTTTGTACTTTTGACCGAGATGCTGAGACTGCGAATGTGGCATTAATTTTCGAACTTAACTTTCATATATAGTGATTTACTGCCCGGTTCTACACCTTAGGTCAAGCAAAACAAATAGTAATATTATTGCATTGTAAAGAAAAGAAAAGGTGAATGTATGTCAAAAAGCTTGTTAAAGTTCACAGCCCAAATACATGTTTAATCAAAATGTACATTAAATTGCTTTTTCAAAATATACCTAAGAAAAAGTTTCGACGTGCGTACTCGAGTTGGACTTTACAGGAAAATAATGATATCCCGAATTTAGAACTAGATTGAAAGAGAGTGACCATGGAGTTCCTAGCCCGATTTTGTCACAGGTATCTGGTTCAGAATCATCGACAAGTTATATTATTATTTTTAATATTTACTGACTTATATTATATACTTATTAATTATTATATTACCTCTATTATAACATGTAAAATTTAGATTTCCAAGAGTGCCTTTTGTGTTCTAATTTCAATAAATTCTTCAATATGTATACAAACAAGGTATATGTAGATAAGGATCATATCTAATAATATGTATATGCAATGTCAAGGGAATATATTCATATCTATAAGGAAGCAAGTAGTCAATACCACAGGGAGACAGATCAAATGGTACATGAATATAACGTAGTAGTAAATGAAACCGTAGAACTAAATATATTTCCTGCTAATTGTGTAATGTATGCACACATAACATGGGCATAACTTAAACATGATTTTCTTTAACGATTAATTGCTTATGTGTTTAGACTTAACTTACTTGTAAAAGATATCCGCATGATTGGAGAAATTTATAATTGGATAAACATTAAGAAAAATTAAATGATACAGCCAATAGACTATCTATATAAAGCTTAAGTTTCTTTTGAAGTGAATGATTATTATGAGGTGATTAACGAATCTGACTTTTTTTCGGAATTCACTTCACGGAGTTTGTCTTTTTGGGACGTCGAAAAACTACATTTTTAGTGATATGACCTTTTGCAAATAACTAAAGACGTCACATGTCATGTTTATGTACAATATTGATTTTCTTGTCTAGCTTGAACCCTGTATTTAAGTTGTCATTTGTTGAAGTTTTTGTACAAGAGGCTTGATGTGGGGTTTTTACGTACCTAAGTACTTATCTATTGTTTAGTTTTTGCGGCCTTAAGCTAGGCTGTTTGTGTATGGGGTCG